GGCACACCGCCGGCCGGCTCTCTCGGGGGCTGCACAGGTTCCTTCAGATAGATGTTCCTGGTGCATGTTGTCTCTCTCCTCCTTTATAGTCCTCTTCCGCCAATCCCAACTCTGCTACCCACATGCCGAGTACGCTGCTCTCCTCCAATCAGGAGCAGGATCAGCTCCTGCAGGTCATCACTCAAGTTGGCGAGAGGCAGCTGCGTAGAAGTTGTTACTCCCTTCTCAGCGCCATATTGTGGGAGAGCAGATGCATAGAATAAGTCTTAATTCCAGTAACAGTCTAGTCCGAGTTGCTCCCCACACGCATTCATATCAGCAATGGTGAGAATCCTTCCAAAATCCAAGTTCCCAGATGGCAGCCAACAGCCAAACCTGCGAGCAGTCTTAGTCCTGTGATGATAATTCTCTTCTGCATTGTGCCTGGCTCTTAGCATTTCATCAGTAGTTGCTGCTGCTGCTTATTTAGGGAGAGACTGTTTCATCGCTATTCCTAGTCCTTAGCTGAGACCTAGGGTATCTCGCCAACCATAATAATTGTTTTTTTTTTTTTTCAAAGATTTATGTATTTATTTGTTTGAAAGTTGGAGTTATACAGAGAGAAAAGGAGAGGCAGAGAGAGACAGAGAGAGGTCTTCCATCACTGGTTCACTTCCCAGTTGGCTGCAACGGTCGGAGCTGTGCTGATCTGAAGAGAGGAGCTTCCTCCAGGTTTTCCTTTGTAGGTGCAGGGGCCCAAGGACTTGGGCCATCTTCTACTGCTTTCCCAGGCCATAGCAGAGAGCTGGATCAGAAGTGGAGTGGCCGGGACTTGTACCGGCGCCCATATGGGATGCCTGCACTGCAGGTGGCGGCTTTACCTGCTATGCTACTGCCAGCCCTAACCATAATTATTGTAACAGCTTCTTTTTATATATATATATGATTTTATTTATTTATTTGAGAGGTAGAATTACAGACAGTGAAAGGGAGAGACAGAGAGGTCTTCCCTCCATTAGTTCACTTCCTAAATGGCCACAATGGCCGGAGCTGCGCCGATCCGAAGCCAGGAGCCAGATGCTTCTTCCCAGTCTCCCATGTGAGTGCAGGGGCCTAAGCACTTGAGCCATCCTCTACTGCTTTCCCAGGCCACAACAGAGAGCTGGATCGGAAGAGGAGCAGCCAGGACTAGAACCAGAGCCCATATGGGATGCCAGCAGTGCAGGCGGCAGCTTTACCTGCTATGCTACAGCACCGGCCCTAACCATAATGATTGTAACAGCTTTTTAAAATACATATATATGAGATTTTATTTATATATGACTTTATATATGATTTTGTTTATTTATTTATTTAAGAGGTAGAGTTACAGACAGTGAGAGGGAGAGACAGAGACAGAGAGAAAGGTCTTCCCTCCGTTAGTTCATTCCCCAAATGGCCGCAACAGCCGGAGCTGTGCCGGTCTGAAGCCAGGAGCCAGGTGCTTCTTCCCAGTTTCCCACATGAGTACAGGGGCCCTAGCACATGGGCCATCCTCTGCTGCTTTCCCAGGCCGCAGCAGAGAGCTGGATTGTAAGAAGAGCAGCTGGAACTGGAACCCAGTACCCATATGGGATGCTGGCGCTGCAGGCAGAGGGTTAACCTACTGTGCCACGGGCTGTAACAGCTTCTTAAGATACTAGTATTACATTCTGAATGTTTGTGTCTTCCCAAAATTTGTATGTTGAAACTTAATCACCAATGTGATGGTTACATCATGACGGAGGAGCCCCCATGAATGATATTTGTGCCCTTATAAAAGAGGCCTCACAGAACTGCTTTCCCCTATCTACCATGCAAAGACACAGGTAGCAGCTGTCTACCAGGGACAATCTGTCAGCACCTTGTTCTTAGGCTTGTCAAACTGCAAAGGTGTTTTGTTTATAAGCCATCTATTTTCTGGCTTTTTGTTATAGCAATCCAGATGGATTAGACAACTAGTAATAGCTGAGAGTTTTCAAAAAGTTCTTAAAAAATGCGTATTATGTGGCCGGTGCCGCGGCTCACTAGGTTAATCCTCCGCCTTGCGGCGCCGGCACACTGGGTTCTAGTCCTGGTTGGGGCGCTGGATTCTGTCCCAGTTGCTCCTCTTCCAGTCCAGCTCTCTACTGTGGCCCGGGAATGCAGTGGAGGATGGCCCAAGTACTTGGGCCCTGTACCCCATGGGAGACCAGGATAAGCACCTGGCTCCTGCCATCGGATCAGCTCTGTGCACCGGCCGCGGCGGCCATTGGAGGGTGAACCAACGGCAAAGGAAGACCTTTCTCTCTGTCTCTCTCTCTCTCACTGTCCACTCTGCCTGTCAAAAAAATAAAAAAAAAGAAAATGCGTATTATGAAAAAGTTACACATGGGCACAGGCATTGTGGTTCAGTGTTAATCTGCTGCTTGGAATGTGTGCATCTTGTTTCGGGAGTGCCAGCTCAAGTCCCAGCTCCTCTGCTTCTGATGTAGCATTCTGTTAATGCATACCCTGGGAGGCAGCAGATGATGGCGCAAGTGCGTGGGTCCCTGCACCCTCATGGGAGACCAGGAAGAAGCACCTGGCTCCTGGCTTCAGATTGGCGCAGCTCCAGCCGTTGCGGCCATTTGGGGAGTGAACCAACGGAAGGAAGACCTCTCTCTCTGTCTCTCTCTCACTGTCTGTAACTCTACCTGTCAAATAAATAAATGAAAATCTTAAAAAAAAAAAAAAGACTAGCTCTAGTAAAATGCATGAAGTTTGTATACCTTCAGTAAAAGGTTTTCAAAAAAGACTGCGTCTAGTATTATATTTACAATAATGGTATTGTGGCTATGAAGAAAAATGTCCTTATGTTTTAGTAATGCTTAACAAAGAGAATTTGAAAAGTCATGATATCTGTTACTTTAAACTACTTAAGCAAAAAAACTGGTGAAACAAATATGGAAAAATACAGTAATTGTTAAAGTAGATGGAGAAAGTTGTTTTTTTAAAAAAAGATTTATTTATTTATTTATTTATTTGAGAGGTAGAATTACAGACAGTGAGATGGAGAAACAGAAAGGTCTTCCATCTATTGGTTCACTCCCCAATGGCCGCAAGGGTCGGAGCTGTGCTGATCCAAAGCCAGGAGCCAGGTGCTTCTTCCCAGTCTCCCATGTGGATGCAGGGGCCCAATCTTCCACTGCTCTCACAGGCCACAGTAGAGAGCTAGATTGGAAGAGGAGCAGCCAGAACTAGAACCGGCGCCCATAGGGGATGCCAGCGCCACAGGCGGAGGATTAATCTGCGCCACAGCACCAGCCCCAAGGAAATTCTTTAAACTATACTCCCTACTTTTCTATATTTTGAAAATTTTTGTAGTTACAGATTTTTTTTAAGTCATTTATTGGGACCAGCACTGTGGCACAGCAAATTAAACTGTGGTCTTCAGTGCTGGCTTCTCTAATGGACACTGGTTCGAGACCCAGCTGCCCTACTTCTGATTCAGGCCACCCCCCCCCCCCCGCTTTTTTTTTTTAAAGATTTATTTGTATATTTGAAAGGTGAAGTTACAGAGAGAGACAGGGACAAAGCGAGAGAGAAGTCTTCTGTCCACTGGTCCCCAAATGGTCTCAACAGCTGGAGCTGGGCTGGTCCGAAGCCAGGAGCCAGGAGCCAGGAACTTCTTCTGGGTCTCCCACGTAGGGGCAGGGTCCCAAGTACTTGGGTCATCTTCTGCTTTCCTAGGCACATTAGCAGGGAGCTAGATTGGAAGTCAAGCAACCTGAAATTGGTGCCCATATGGGATACCAGCATTGCAGACAGTGACTTAACCCACCACTCCACACCACCGGCCCCTGCACCTCCCTTCCAGTGCACCTGGGAAGGCAGCAGAAGATGGCCTAAGTACCTGGGCACTTACCACCCCTGTGGGAGACACAAAAGAAGCTCTTGACTCCTGGCTTCGGCCTGGCCCAGCCCTGGTTATTGTGGTCAGTTGAGGAGTGAACCAGCAGATGGAAGATTCTGTCTGTCCTCTCTCTTTAACTCTTTCAAATAAATAAATCTTTAAATAGAAGTTGCTTATTACTAATCACCAGCACTACTCAAAGTAATAGTAGTATCCATAACTTTTAGGATAATCTGGATTATTGGGGAATATAGATGTCTTTTAATATATTGATTTTTCTGAATGTATATAACCTGTGTAAGTCTGCATTTTAAAGCACTGATTTTCACTTTTATGTTTTATTGATGAGGATTCTGAATCTTTATCTGTGTCAGTGATGGATTCTCAGTCATAGGACTGCCTTTGATCCTTTGTTAAAGAACTCCCTCCCTATCTTTTCCCCAAGATTCTACCTTTGGAAAGATAAATGATTTTCTTTTTTATTATTCCAAATTTTTTAAAGATTTATTTATTTATTTGAAAGAGTTACAGAGAGGAGAGGCAGAGAGAGAGAGAGAGAGAGAGAGAGAGAGAGAGAGGTCTTCCATCTGCTGGTTTACTCCCCAGATGGCCACAATGACTGGAGCTGCACCGATCTGAAGCCAGGATCCAGGAGCCTCTTCCGGGTCTCCCACACGGGTGCTGGGGCTCAAGGACTTCCACTGCTTTTCCAGGCCATAGCAAAGAGTGGAGCAGCCAGGAGTCGAACTGGTGCCCATATAGGATGCCGGCACTGCAGGAGGCAGCTTTACTCAATACACCACAGCACCCACCCCTATTATTGCAAATTTTTAAAATACTGTATATTTACCTAATGTAATCATAGTGGATTTATCTCCTGTCATTTATTCCAGTAGTGCACACATGTGAACACATATAACCTCTCATCTCTCCTTCCCGTTACAGAGGGAGGTAGTGTTTCTTCCACTTTGGATGGAGAAGCTAGGGCCCAGTTAAGGAGCTTTTCAGTGACCACTAGTAGTAAAGTGTAATGGAACCTAAAGCAGCGTTGGAGCCTTGTGGCTTAGTGGTGCAGGCTCACACTGCTGGACGTGTGTGAACATAACCTCTGCTGTGTCTATCTCAACAGGCTTCTGACGGTAGCAGTTCTAGAGAAGATCTCTCGTCCCAGCTTTTGAGAAGGAATGAACAGATACGGAAATTGGAAGCCAGACTTTCTGGTATGTCTAAGAACACAAAATGCAAACAGTAGTGCACTCGCCTTGCCTGACCCACTCCCCTATAAAGTAGCCAGTTAGAATCACTTCATAGTTATTTTAAACTATCATTTTGATCTTACTAAAAAGCAGTTTGCCCCTCGTTGTTCCCTTCTTGTAGTGTGTTGAATAGTATATGTACAAAACTGAGTTCGAAAGTTTATTTTTAAAAAATAATTTTTCTGCTCCTGAGGTTTCTAACCATGGATAAAGGTATTCAAAGTAAATATAGAATAGATTTGACCGTCTTCCACAGTTAGCACACCTGGGTCTCAGTGGACAAGGGTGGGGAATAGGATTCAGAGAGAATGGCAAACAGCTGTTGGCTCCATCAGCACCAGAAAGAGCTTTGCACTGTATTGTCACTAGCTGCGCTTCAAGGCACATGTGCAAATGCTGTTCTGGGTCTTTGGGCCACTTATTTATTTATTTATTTATTTATTTTTTATTTGAGAGGTAGAGTTACAGACAGTGAGAGGGAGAGACAGACAGGTCTTCCTTCCGTTGGTTCACTCACCAGATAGCTGCAACTGCTGGAGCTGGGCAGATCCGAAAACAGGAGCTTCTTCCTGGTCTTCCAAGCGGGTACAGGGGCTCAAGGACTTGGGCCATCCTCTACTGCTTTCCCAGGCCATAGCAGAGAGCTGGATCGGAAGTGGAGCAGCCAGGACTAGAACCGGCACCCATATGGGATGCCGGTGCCACAGTGGGAGGATTAACCTGCTGTGCCACGGTGCTGGCCCCTGGGCCACTTCTGACACTTGTTTAAAAGCTATAATTCGCATTACCTGTTTTGTGTGCAGTTTAGAATTTACACAGCTCCCATTATTTCCTTGGCCAGAGTAGGGCATGTTCATGATTAAACGGTGAATTCTTATTTTTGTTTCTGCCAGTGGAGACATTTTGGAAGTTTCATCCTGTGAAGTGGTCTGTGATTTTCGTGTCTCTTTTTGTCCGTTGGCTTTATGCCCCTTTTACTGCAGTAAAATCAGTAGACTAAAGTCCACCAAATGTATGTGAAAATTTGTGTAACTATCAAAAGTCCATCACATAGTTCACAAGTACATGGTAATCATTTTATCTTCAGTATGGCTATATAAGGCATAGATAGGTTAAGGTCACATAAGTAATAAGTAGTAGAGCTGGAATCCATACTCAAAAATGCTTGATGCTAGAGTTCATGCTGGTTCGTACTCAGTAACCATGTTGTGACTCCTGTTAGAAAGTACAATAGCAACAGAGGTGAAATAACCTTGTATTTGCTTGATGTTGGTGAGGTAATTAGGAAATAAGCCATACCTCCCTAATACGAAAGGAAGAAAAGCTGGGCTTGATTTGTGTTAGAGAAGGGACAAGGAAGGGAAGTGACATTCATTTATTCATGTATTTAATTTAGTTTTGGGGTGGAAAGAACTTTATTAGATTTGACTTCCAGCCTTGGCCATGAAGGTGCTGCCCACCCCAGCCCTGCATCACGGGGTGCCCAGCCCCCCTCCTCGTTGTCTTCCACATTGAGCCCCAGGATGTTGCAGATCTGGCTGAGAACTGACATTTATTGAGCCCACTTAGGTGCTGGCAACTCTGCCTCAGGCTTAGTGAGAATAATGAGCACTATGGGGTTTTTTTTGTTTGTTTGTTTGTTTGTTTTAAGATTTGTTTATTTGAAAGGCAGAGATACAGAGAGAGAAGGAGAGAGAGGGAGAGAGAGATCTTCCATCTGCTGCTTCACTCCTCAAATGGCCTTAATGGCCGAGGTGGGCCAAGACGGAGCCAGCAGCCAGGAGCCTCTTCCTGGTCTCCCACATGGATGCAGAGGCTGAAACCCTTGGGCCATCCTCTGCTGCATTCCCAGGTGCACTAGCAGGGAGTTGGATCAGAAGTGAAGCAGCCAGGACTCAAAACAGTGCCCATATGGGATGCTGACACTGCAGGCAGAGGCTTAACCTTCTATGCCACCGTGCCACTGTGTGCTCTTAAAGCATTTGAACTGTGTAAAATATTATCTAATGCATCCATTGAGGTAGGTATGATTAATATCATTTAATATATGAAGAAACTAATACTTAGATTGATAATTTGCTTACAGTCCCTGCTATGGACTGACAATGCTGTAATTTGAACTACTCTACTTTTCCCTATACCATGCTGTCTTTGGCCACCCAGGAAATTAATTCTGACTTTCAGTTTTAATATAGCATAGGTGAGTCAGTTCCTGTGTAGAAAGGGATCTCACCTTTCTAGGGAAGTCAGTACTTTTACTGGAAAGACAGTACGATGCTAACATGCTGGCTAGTGCTTTGACCACTGTTACAGGTGCAGACGACAGGCAAGCTGTGCAATGGGTTACCTTTGATCTGTGCTACTGCTAGGGCTACAACGGAGAGTGAACACTGAGATTTGAAGTTACATAATGAAATAATGCTGTGTTTGCCACAACAAGGTATTTTTGAGAACCAGTACATGCCTAATTCATGTACTCTATGGAGGCTGAACAGATTTGCCTGTCTGTGTTCACCATTTCACCATGGATACTTTGTATTATACCTGTTTACCTGTGTTCATTGTTAATGGGAGGCTGTCTACCTAGCTTTCCTTAACAGGAATGGTTTTCAGATCGAGAAAATCATCTTCATTTTCACTCATTTTTGTGTTTAATTAACCTCCTTTCCTGATGTTTGTCCATTCCTGGTATGTGCATCACCTCACCCAAGACTATGCTGAACAGGTCCGAAACTTGCAGAAGATAAAAGAGAAGCTTGAGATTGCATTAGAAAAACATCAGGATTGTACGTATTTTTCTCCTGCTTTTTCAATCTTTTCAGGGTTTAGTTTTTTTAAATGAAGCAATAGTATATTGTGAAGTTTGTCTTTCATCAGAGCTCATATCTTTGTTTTATAAGGAGTGTACTTCTTATTCAGATTAATATAACATTTGTCTGATACTTACAAGTATACGGCTTATATTTATGTCTTATGGGTATGCTTCTTGGGAAGAGATCAGTATGTGTGCCAGCTTGTCTGTGTCCAGTTGACCCATTTATTGGCTACATGAAGTTTTAGTAAAATCTAGCATCTGGCCCTTGGCTCTAGATCAGGAGATGGATTTTTTTTTTTTTTTTTTTTGCCAGGCAGAGTTAGAGAGAAAGAGACAGAGAGAAAGGTCTTCCTTTTCCATTGGTTCACCCCACAAATGGCCGCTACGGCCGGCGCGCTGCACCGATCTGAAGCCAGGAGCCAGGTGCTTCCTCCTGGTCTCCCATGCAGGTGCATGGCCCAAGCACTTGGGCCATCCTCCACTGCCTTCCCAGGCCACAGCAGAGAGCTGGACTGGAAGAGGAGCACCCAGGACAGAATCTGGTGCCCCAACCAGGACTAGAACCCAGGGTGCTGGCGCCACAGGCAGAGGATTAGCCCAGTGAGCCACGGCACCAGCCAGGAGATGGATTCTAACCACAGCTTCATTGCTGCGGGGTTGAGTAACTGGGGAACATACCTGTCATCTCTTCCCCAGTAATACAACAGAGATTTTGTCCCTGACTCTCGTGTTCTTCTTTAAGTACTGTTGAAGAAATAAGCTAATGGAACTATAAAGTTAATGGATGTTTTTTGTTGTTAATATAATATGTACTAAATTTTTTGAAGGAAAATAAAGATTTTTTTGTTTAGCTTTGTTCTGATTTTTGCTTTTGTTTTTTTCTGATAAACAAGTAGTAGCTGTGATTGGAAACAACATTAGTGTTTTCTGGCAACTTACCCAGCTCAGTATTCTATCACTGTACCATTTAAAAAGTTACCTTGTTGAATCTCCTTCTATGAATACACTTGAATATTACAAAAAACAAAAACAACAAGGAAACAAACAAACCAAAGTGATCTATTACCAAGGCCAAAAGATTCTTCTAGAAAGTCAAGATGGATCAGACTTTCCTGTTGTCATAATCCACTCATGCAATCCTGGCCTTTTTTCACTTGATGACAGTTGTAATCACATGAGCTTTCTGTCATGCTCTTTCTGAAGTATTTCCATGTCTCAAATAGAGCTTCTTTGTTAACAGCTTCCATGCGGAAATTTCAAGAGCAGAATGAGACATTCCAAGCCAACAGAGCCAAAATGGCAGAAGGACTGGCTTTGGCATTAGCCAGAAAGGACCAGGTATTTTATATTTGACAATGCCCAAGAATGATGGAAAGATATTGCTTACTTACATGATTTTAAAAATTGTGACATAACCTGGTAGAAAATATTTACAACTTTCCTAAGTTCTTTAAGATTTCATATGATCTTGTAAACTTATGAAAATGTACAGTGTAATCACGGAATAGATCCAGAATGTGAGTATCGTCCTTTGCATCTGTGTAGCTTTGTAATGTGTCCATAATCCGTGATCTGATGGTGAGTCCCCAAATAAGGAGAAAGTCTCTGCCCTTTAAAAACCTTTCTCAGAGCCCCAACCCAAAACACTTGCTTTTTGTACTGGCAAAGTTATTGTCGAGCTAGTCATAATCCATAATGCACATGTTCTTCTAACCTCTGTTCCCAAGTGTCTTCAACCCTAGCCAGATGACAGAGGGAACTCCCATAATGTAAACAGGACCATCCATTGAAGATGCCAAATGTGTGATAAAAAAGGGAAATAATACTATTACTCGCTATTAAAATAATTATGAAGCATATTTTACTCAAGATAACAAATGGCATTTTAAATTTGAGATAAGCATCACTATATTGTAATAATCCTGACTTATAAGACTGGGTCAGTTTATTATATTTTATTTAAGAAAATATATAATTTATTTCAGCTACAGTAGGTAGAGTGGTTGGCTGGCTGGGTTTACAGTGCATATTCATCCCCTAGGGCCATTACTAGCCAGAAAAAACATCACTCAGCATACTCAGTGAATAACTATAGTATGGGTGTATGTAAATGAAGAAAGCTAAAATTGGTGGGTTCTGATTCTAGGCAAGCAGGACATGACTTTTTGTATCAGTGGTTACTCCTCTCCCTATTTTGTGAATCAGGCATAATTCCTTTTCCTTTGTGTTATATAAGATGGCATAAAACACATATTTAAAATCAAAATGAGAAGGAAAATGATTATCAGGAACTACTGAACATCCTCAATCCTCCCCTTTTAATAAATTAATTTTTTTTTGACAGGCAGAGTGGACAGTGTGAGAGAGAGACAGAGAGAAAGGTCTTCCTTTGCCGTTGGTTCACCCTCCAATGGCCGCCACGCTGTAGCCGGCACACCGCGCTGATCCGAAGGCAGGAGCCAGGTGCTTCTCCTGGTCTCCCATGGGGTGCAGGGCCCAAGCACTTGGGCCATCCTCCACTGCACTCCCTGGCCACAGCAGAGAGCTGGCCTGGAAGAGGGGCAACCGGGAATCCGGCGCCCTGACCGGGACTAGAACCCGCTGTGCGGGCGCCGCAAGGCGGAGGATTAGCCTAGTGAGCCGCGGTGCCGGCCAAATTAATTTTTAAACATAATTTGCAGTGACCCAGCTCAGCTGGTCCCAGCCATCCACTCCCAAGAAATCATAACGCCATGCATGAGAAAACTTGTAAGAGTAAGCTGAAAAGCTGCCTAAGAACAGCAGATACAGTTTGTTTCATTGCTCTACTTAGTGACAATCTGTAAATATATTTATGTTGCAGAATTTTATAGAAAATTCCTTTTCTTCTTTTGAAACTCTTGGCCTTCTTAATATTAAGTCAAGTTCCTGATTTTTTTTAATTTGCTTTTTTGTTTGTTTGGGTTGGTTGTTTTTTGAGGGCAGTGGGGTTTTATTTTCTGAATATGTTGGTATAACAGATAATCTTCCCTGGAAACTATACTTTTTGTTGTTTTGTTTTAGGAATGGTTAGAAAAGATGGACCACCTCGAAAAGGTTAGTTTGTGTTTATGTTCGTGTCTTCACTGGTGCTGGTCTCATCTCTGGAGCTTGGAGAGTGTTTTCTTTGGTAACCAGCGTACTAATGGTGACAGCGCAGACTTGAAGAGCTGGATCTCCTCCTTGCCCCTGCTGTGGGACTCTCCACCCTTTGCTTTTCTCTGTGTCCCTGAATACTGGTACAGGGTTAAGGACACAAAGGACTAAGTGGAAGAAGAATGTGATGGGGAGGTTTATTCCCCCCACCTCTGTCCACCGTCTGGTTCATTGCATCCCATGGCCAAAAGTCACAGCTTCATTTGAACCTTTGCTGGGCATAGTTTTTCTCCCTGCGTTTCTTGTAACCTTTTTGTCCATTTGCCCCGTTATGCCCAGCTCTTACCAGCACATTGTTTCTTTTGACCTTTCTTCCTCAGCCTGCAGCTCTGATAAGTCCCTTTGTTAAACCAGCCCCAGGATACCTAATGTGACCTGCTGTTTCCTGCTGGGGCTGTGACTGACCCCGGGATAACGTTAGCAGTGGAAAGGAGGGCATTCCTCAAGATCAGCACCGAGCAGCTGGCCACAGACGAAGAAAAGTGCTTATTCTAGTTGCAGAGCTTGTGTGATATGACACTGTAGGGGCCTTAAGTAAAATATCCCTGGCTCCAGGATTTGAACAGAACATAAAATTTCAAACCTACAATTGGAAAAAAATTTAACTTTAAGCATTAGAGTCCATTCTCTTAGCTTGAATTATGTGCTCCTAATTGATTTCTTGTTTTCTCTGAGTACTCCTAAATTAATCCTCATGGAAGGAAAATTATTTTAGATTGATATATTCAGTTCCAAACTATATTTACTGTCTATTGAATAGATGAATTTTATAGTTGTTGCGTTCTTTTTTTAAAGATTTATTTATTTATTTGAAGTCAGAGTTACACAGAGAGAGAAGGAGAAGCAGAGAGAGAGAGAGAGAGCTCTTCCATCCACTGGTTCACTCCCCACTTGGCTGCAACGGCCAGGAGCCAGAAGCTTCCTCCAGGTCTCCCACGTGGGTGTAGGGGCACAAGGACTTAGGCCATCCTCTACTGCTTTCTCAGGCCATAGCAGAGAGCTGCCTGCTACCACCCCATGAGTTGTTGCATTCTTTTGATAAAACATCAAGTTAAGCCAACTTTATTTATTATATATTATATTATATTATATATATTATTATATTCTTTAGTTATTTATTTTTTTGACAGGCAGAGTTAGACAGTGAGAGAGAGAGAGAGACAGAGAGAAAGGTCTTCCTTTTTCCGCTGGTTCACCCTCCAAGTGGCCGCTACGGCCGGCGCGTTGCGACTGGTGCACTGCAACTGGCGCGCTGTGCTGATCCGAAGCCAGGAACCAGGTGCTTCCTCCTGGTCTCCCATGCAGTTGCAGGGCCTAAGGACCTGGGTCATCCTCCACTGCACTCCCTGACCACAGCAGAGAGCTGGACTGGAAGAGGGGCAACCGGGACAGAATCTGGTGCCCCAACTGGGACTAGAACCTAGGATGCCGGCACCGCAGGTGGAGGATTAGCCTCTTGAGCTGCGGCGCTGGCCATGCCAACGATTTTCTTTGTCTGTTCTGTAGAAATGTGATTATCATTATCAAAATGCTCTATAATGTTTTTTAATAAGGAAAGGATTACAAAATACTCAAGTCCCAAAGAAATGTGTGCTTAGGGAAAAAATCCTCTAACATATCTGTTAGTGCTGGTGTTAAATATAGACAGAGATTAATTCAGAGATTGCTCTTTATTGCTTAGTTTCTAAAGAAACTCTTAAGATTATGTTAGGGTTGGGCCTGCCAGAGGTTAAGATGCTGATTACAATACCTTCATCCCACATCAGAGTGCCTGGCTTCAATGGTCAGCTTCAGCCCCTGACTCCAGCTCCTTGCTAATGCAGACACCGGGAAGCAGCGTGATGGCTCAAATATTGGGTCCCTGCAACCCATGTGGGAGATATGGATTGAGTTCCCATCTCCCAGCTTAGACAGAGACAGAGACAGAGACAGACAGACAGACAGAGAGAAATCTTCCATCTCCTGCCTCACTTTCAAATGGCTGCAATGGCTGGGTCTAGGCGAGGCTGAAGCCAGGAGCTTCTTCCAGCCTCCCACATGGGTGCAGGGGCTCAAGCACTTGGGCTACCTTCTGCTGCTTTCCTGGGTGCATTAACGAGTTGGATCGGAAGTGGAGCAGCTGGGATTGCATGCCCCAGCACGCAATGCCAGCATCCCATATGAACACCAGTTCCAGTCCCAGCTGCTCCACTTTTGATCCAGCTCCTTGATGGTTGCCTGGGAAAGCAGTGGAGGATGGCCCAGGTCTTTTGCCACCTGTACCCACGTGGGAGACCCAGAAAATGTTCCTGGCTCCTGGCTTCGGATTGGCTCAGCTCCAGCCTATCTGGCTGTTTAGGGAGTGAACCGGTGGATGGAAGACCTCTCTCTTTCTTTGTCTCTACTTCTCTCTATAGCTCTTTCAAGTAAATAAAATAAATCTTTTTTTAAAAAAAAAAAGCTATCATTAAGTAAATTGTAACTCACATTAGATATGTCTGATTTTTTTAACTTGCTAACTGAATTCAGTTCTACTTAAAAACGTTTGTCAGCACTGGAGGAGGGATTCTGTGTAGCTCCAGTTATTGATGTTTTCAGCCCATTTAATCTAAGACTAGACATGTAAAATGTGTGTCTGAAATTGCTAAGCAGACTTAAGAACTTTAAAGTTTTAAATAATTGCTGCTGTTGTTTTTCTTATGAATAATTATCACTTAAAACATCTTTATAAAAGGATTCTTTATGTTTGTATGTATTAAAAGGGTGGCAGAGAGACAGGACAGATCTTCTGTCCACTGATTTCACTCTCCAAATGCCCACATTGGTTGGGGCTGGGCCGGAGCAAAATTTGGGTGCTGAGCACTCAGTCCAGTTATCCCATGTGGGTGGCAGGAACCCAGCTGCTTGAGCCATCACTACTTGCCTTCCAAGGTTTGCGTTAGCAGGGAGCTGGAGTTATGTGCCACAGCCAGGTATCAAACTCAGGAGCTCTGATGTGGACCTGAATGTATCAACCACAAGGCCAAATGCCCACACTAACTGCTGATTCCTAGTGGTTTAATTGCCTGAGTTGATGTCCTTTTCTTCCAAATAGGAAAAAAGGCTTCTGACAGCTCAGTTACAGGAAGTGAAGAACCAGAGTTTGAATCTGTTCCAAAGAAGAGATGAGATGGATGAATTAAAGGGGTTCCAGCAGCAGGAAATAAGTAAAGTAAAGCACATGGTATGTTTACATTTTTGTTTCATAAGCCAAACATAAAGACATGATTATTTACTCTTGTTTGTTAATTATTACTCCCTAATTTCTAATAAACGTACCCCAGTAGTCACTGATACTAGTCATATGTGTGTTTTTAATTTATTAAAATGAGAAAATTCTGTTTGAAATGTATTTCCTTCCCTCCCCTCCCCCCCACCCATGAGACAGGGTGAATACAGAAGCTCAGGTCTCTCTTCCTCTTTTTTTTTAAAAAAGGTTTATTGATTTATTTGAAAGGCAGAGTTGCAGAGAGAGTGAGATCTTCCATCTGCTGGTTCACTCCCCAAATGGCCACAACGGCCAGAGCTGGGGTGATCTGAAGCCAGGAGCCAGGAGCTTCTTCCGAGTCTCCCATGTGGGTGCAGGGGCCCAAGCAGTTGGGCCATTTTCCACTGCTTTCCCAGGCACATTAGCAGGGAACTGGACTGGAAATGGAGCAGCCAGGACTTGAACTGGCACCCATATGACATGACGGCCCTGCAGGTAATGGCTTTACCCGCTAAGCCACAGCACCAGACCCTCCGTTTCTTAAGTGCTGGGTAATAAGCCCCTTTTTAAACCCACAAAAATGCTTGAAATGTTTGGCTGTTCATTCATTCAAATTTATTTTAATCATTACTCAGTTAACAATCTTTAGTCCTTCTTCCCTCCCTCCCTCCCTCCTTCCCTTCCTCCCTTCCCCTTCCTTCCTTCCTTCCTTCCTTCCTTCCTTCCTTCCTTCCTTCCTTCCTTCCTTCCTTCCTTCCTTCTTCCTTTCTTTCCCTTTCTTTCCCTTTCTTTCCCTTTCTTTCTTTCCCTTTCTTTCTTTCCCTTTCTTTCCTTCTTCCTCTCTCCCTCCCTTCTTCCCCTCTCCTCCCCCTCCCTCCCTCCCTCCCTTCCTTCCTTCTTTTCATTTACTTATTTGAAAGAGTTACAGAGAAGGAGACACAGAGAGACAGAAATCTTCCATCTACTGGTTTATTCCCCAAATGGCCACAATGGCTGGGGCTGGGCCAAGCCAAAGCGAGGCGCTAGGAGCTTCATCTGGGTCTCCCACGTGGGTGCAGGGGCCCAAAGACTTGGGCCATCCTCCACTGTCTTTTCAGACCATCAGCAGGGGAGCTAGATTGGAAGCAGAGCAGCTGGGACTCAATTCAGCACCCACACAGGATGCCCACCCTGCAGGCAGAGGCTTTATCTGCTATTACACAACACTGGCCCCTTGGATTATTTTGTAGTGTTTCTTTCTTAGCCCCTTGGATTATTTTGTAGTGTTTCTTTCTTAGCAGTAGCCTAGTGAAACTGTTTGTTTTTGTGTCAGCTTTTAACAAAAGAAGAAAGTCTGGGGAAAATGGAGCAAGAGTTGGAGGCACGAACCAGAGAACTTACTCGCACCCAGGAAGAGTTGATGACTTCCCATAAGATGTCATCAGACTTAAGCCAGAAGCTGGAAGAATTGCAGAGACACTACTCAACGCTGGAAGAGCAGAGGTTCTTGCTTGGTCTGTGGGGCGCTTGGGAAGAGGTGTTAGTGTAGCTTTGGCCGTAGCCCACCCACCTTTCCCCATTGCTCGCAGCAACACTTGCTGATCTCAGTGCTGGCAAAGGCGTCTGGACTTGTCAAACAGTTTCAGGATCCCCCACCCTGACCCTCACCCTCTCTGCCCTTCACCTGCCCCGGCTCAGAACCATTCCAACCCTACTGAGCAAGTCAGTAACGTTTTAGTTTTAACTTGCTGAGTGAGCAAAGACAGATCAGTTTTCTTGCTTAAACCTGGGTGGACTTTTTATCTTTGGACTTCTGCTGCAGAGAGAGCCAAGAAGTGTTTTTCATTTATAACCTTCCTGTGGCTGATAATGTTTGCAGTCCTGACATACAAGGAATCATCTGTATTTTCCTGTGGAAGTGTGTCATAGATGAGATAGCCAAATTTGTTCATTGTCTGCTTTCTTTCAATGAAGAGATCATGTGACAGCTTCAAAAGCAGGTGCAGAAAATAAGATCACAGCCCTGGAACAAAAGGAACAAGAGCTCCAAGCATTCATTCAGCAGCTTTCCATTGATTTGCAAAAGGTAAGTGAAGTACAGAGAGTAGACCTGGGTTCCCAGAAGTCCATGAATGTGGTCAAAACAAAATCTCACAAACTTCATCCTCAAGGTAATTGCTGAGAGTATGTTTCTCATGGAACCCACATTGCCCTACTTCTGCAGCCAGATTACACTCAGAAGGAAATGGCCACACAGCTGAACAAGGGTTGCATAACAGACATCAGCATTGTTCTAACAGATTGTTAAAGCACTCCATTTGGCCTACTCAGATATGTCTTTAAAGTACCACATGATGGAACTTAAACAGGAGAAAACATAAGTCATGGTTGATGTGGCCAGAGTTGCACCTTTGACACATTTGGCTCTAGTCCATTTTGTTCCAGAGCACATAATCAGGTGCTATCATTCTCATTTGTTTTTTCATCTGATTGACATCTCTTGTCCTTCTGCTCTAGGCATGTGCTGAGTTCTGAGAATATAGAGAGTGATATAGTAGTATTGAGTATAAATGGTATTTCTTGGTGACATGCTACGTACTGGCATTTTGAGCAGAATAGTTTATATTTTGTGATTATCCCTTGATTGCAAAGCATTTAGCTTTCCTGGATGCTGGGTTCTCAATGCCAGCAGCATCGTTTATTCATTGAAAATCTAATCCTTCCCATCACCCTTCTCTTGAGAAGTGCTAATCTCAAGTGAAGCAAGTTAACCGCATGATTACAGTGCAATAATTTTTGTGCAAATAGAAGTATAAGTACCCCTTCCAGCTAAGTATTGTCATACTTCCAGGTACCTAAAAAGGAACCAAGACAGGTTATATTCCTTGTCTTACCTGAAAACTCATGCTTGTTCTACTGCAGTTTGTCACTTCACAGTACGGAATACCCAGTAAAATAGTTTTGTATGAATGAATGACTGTATACAAGGCTCCTACCCTCAGTGAACTTAAAATCTGGACACATACAGTTATTTTCCCTCAAAGACATACAGTTTTATTACAGAACACAAACCACCAGTAAACACAAGAAAAAAATCCACAAATAGCAAATTCCAAATAAGGGAACTAGATTTTTCACATGCAAAAAGTATGCCATCGAGGGCGTGCCTTTCTAGCCCATGGGTGGGAGAAATCTTCCTGGACGAACTGGACAGGTCATGAATGGGTGGGACAGTAGAAGGCAGAAGGATACAGAATCCGTTTGAATAGTGAAGGGTGAGGACAGACACACAACTTTGAGATGTGGAGAACCCTTTGATAACAGTGGGAACCATCGTCCTTGTTACAATCAGAAAAAAAGAGGCTCAGGGAAATCCAGACTAGTCACAGTAATGCCCCTCATTCATTCTAAGGATCTTAATTGAGGAATCCTGTGTGCTAGGCTAGGTGTTAGAAATGCTATGCTGAGCAAAACAGACACCGCCCTTGAATTTGTGGTGCGTGTGGCCTATAGAGGAAGTCAGACATTAGTCAGCAATCACATAAATATGTAATTATTGTGGGGAATGCTCTGAGGGAAACTGCAAGGTGCTGTGGTATCCTATTACAGGGTCTCAGATGCCATCTGGTCTTAGAGTCACCAAACACTTGTCTTGAGGAAGTAACACCTGGTGTACTGCTGAGGCCAGAGAGGAAGGGGTGACAGGAGAGGGTTACAAGCAGGGCACGGCATGAACCAAAGCCATCAGGCAAATGAAAGGAGTAGCACATTCAAGGAGCTAGAAGGAAGCCAGAACAATGATACACAGAATGAGGGAGAGAAGTGGGTTTCTTGGCTTGTTAGGAGTTAGGAAGCTTTTGCAGTTGTCCGACTGTAACATGATGGTAGCTTTGACAAAGAGCGTTGGTGAATATAACAGTGATGAGGAGGTAACTAAGAAATTTTGAAAAGTCTGGTGAACTTGCTAATGTAATAGTCTTGGGGCCCCTAAGAGAACTGAGGTAGCAGGTGATTCTGGGTTTCTGGTGTGAACAGCAGGTGGCTGCCTGCATCTGTCGTGGGCTCCAGGAGCACTGTATCACAGGCAGTTTTAGTGTGAAGAACTGAAATTTGGACTTAGGGTTTTTCTTTCTTGTCCTTGTTAGTATTGAGTAGATAAATAATATTTATAAAATACATGGTAGAAATTACAGTAAGATAAGAACTTCTATAAGGATCTATAATTTTCTCCATAAACATTTATATATTGTTAAATTTATTCCTAGGTGCTTTTTTAAAAAAAATTATTTATTTATTTCAAAGACAGGGTTACAGAAAGAGATAGAGAGAGAGAGAGAGAGAGGTCTTCCATCCGCTGGTTCACTCCCCAAATGGCCACAACGGCCAGAGCTGAGCCGATTTGGAGCCAGGAGCTTCTTCTGGGTCTCACGCATGGATGCAGGGGCCCAAGGACTTGGGCCATCTGCTGCTGCTTCCCAAGTGCATTAGCGGGGAGCTGGATTGGAAGTGGAAGAGCCAGACTTAAACTCATGCCCATATGGGATGCCAGCACTGTAGGCTTAGGCTTTAATGCACTACACCACAACGTCTGCCCACTTTTTTTTTTTTAGAGCCTGTAAATTATGTAACTTTTAAAATTGCTTTTTGTATTTGTCTTGGCATATAGAAATGCTTAGTTACATACGGCTTTGATAGTTTAGTCTAGGTATATCGAGATCTCTATTAGAGTCTATCTGATATGACATTGTTCCTTCGCTCTACACTTATTCCCTGCCTATCTGTAGCTAGATGTCAGGTCCTGCATTGAACACAGTTTGTAAAAATAGGCACCTTTGGGCCGGCGCCGCGGCTCACTAGGCTAATCCTCCGCCTTGCGGGGCCGGCACACCGGGTTCTAGTCCGGTCGGGGCGCCTGGGATTCTGTTCCCAGTTGCCCCTCTTCCAGGCCAGCTCTCTGCTGAGGCCAGGGAGTGCAGTGGAGGATGGCCCAAGTGCTTGGGCCCTGCACCCCATGGGAGACCAGGAAAAGCACCTGGCTCCTGGCTCCTGCCATCAGATCAGCGCGGTGCGCCGGCCGCAGCGCGCTGGCCGCGGCGGCCATTGGAAGGTGAACCAACGGCAAAGGAAGACCTTTCTCTCTCTCACTGTCCACTCTGCCTGTCAAAAAAAAAAAAAAAAAAAAAAAGGCACCTTTGTTTTGTTCTTGATTTCCAGTGTTTGCCCAACAAATTTTATTTTCTGTAGATTTTTACCAGGTTAAGGAGGCTTCTTTCTATTTTTTTTAAGTCAATTTGATGATGTCTGATTTATGTGCAATGAAATGGCGTACTTTTCTGGGGTGCCATATGGGGAGTTTTGAGACATGTACACTCGTAGGATGACTGCCACTGTTGAGATACAAAATGGGGCTGGCGCTGTGGCGCAGTGGGTTAAAGCCCCGGCCTGAAGCACCGCCATCCCATGTGGGCACCGGTTCTAGTCCCAGCTGCTGCTCCTCTGATCCACCTCTCTGCTATGGCCTGGGAAAGCAATGGAGGATGGCTCAAGTCTTTGAGCCCTACATGTGCATGGGAGACTCAAAAGAAGCTCTGGCCATTGCGTCAGTTTGGGGATGAACCAATGGATGGAAGACCTCCCTCTCTCTCTCTCTCTCTCTCTTTCTGGCTCTACTTCTCTCTGTAACTATTTTTTTAATTTATTTTATTTATTTGAAAGAGTTACAGAGAGAGAGACACAGAGAGAGGTCTTCCATCCACTGGTTCACTCCCCAGATGGCCGCAATGGCCGGAGCTGCACCGACCCGAAGCCAGGGGCCCAGAGCTGCTTCTGGGTCTCCCACGTGGGTGCAGGGGCCCAAAGACTTGGGCCATCTTCCGCTGCTTTCCCAGGCTATAGCAGAGAACTGGATTGAAAGAGGAGCAGCCAGGACTCAAACCGACGCCCATATGGGATGCTGGCGCTTCAGACCTGGGCTTTAACCCACTGCACCACAGCTCTGGCCCCTGTAACTTTGTCTTTCAAATAAAAGTAAATCTTTAGGGGCGGCGCTGTGGCTCATCGGGTTAAATTAGCCCCGGCCTGAAGTGTCGGCATCCCATATGGGCGCCAATTCTGGTCCCAACACCTCCTCTTCTGATCCAACTCTCTGCTACAGCCTGGGATGGCAGTGGAGGATGGCCCAGGTCCTTGGGTCCCTGCACCCACATGGGAGACCGGAGGAAGCTCCTGGCCCCTGGCTTCGGATTGGCGCAGCTCCGGCCATTGCGGCCATCTGGGGAGTGAACCAGTGGATGGAAGACCTCTCTGTGTGTGTCTACCTCTCTCTGTAACTCTGTCTTTCAAATAAATAAAATAAATCTTGAAAATAAATAAATCTTTTAAAAAGAAATATAGAATGTTTCTATCACCCCAAAAAAGCTTCCCCAGTGCTCATTCCAGTCGGTCCCCACCCTCAGCTCCTGACAACCACTGATGCTTTCTGTCCCTGCAGTTGCCGTTGTCTTCCCTTGGAGTTCCGTACAGATGGGGTCACACCATTGGCGTGCTCTCGTGTCTGGCCTCTCTCATTTAGAGTTATCTTTTCAGAGTTACTTGTTGCTGTGTGTACAGTTCATTTCTTCTTATTGCTGAGTCCTAAGTTATCCTTTCTTTGGATATACAACATTATCTATTTATCTGTTTTTCTCTTCTTTTCTCTCTGTTTATCTTTGATGGACTTAGGTTTTTCCCAGTTTTTAGCTAGCACGAATTAAGCAGCTATGATCATTCATGTACATATCTGTGTGGCATATATTTTCATCTATTTTGAGAAATATTTTGGAATGAAATTGTTGGGCCATATGATAAATATTTGTTAAACAACAGCGTTCAAAGTGTCGTTCTGGACCCCTGATTATCTGGAGACTGGGGGGAAACCAACTGGCCCATGATGAGATCAGAAGGGAACAAGAGAGGGCTTGAAGTGTAGTGTGATTGCTGCATTCACCCACAGGTCACTGCTGAAACTCAAGACAAAGACAGACTCATTACACATTTGCAAGAGAAGGTCGGATCCTTGGAGAAGAGACTGGAACTGAACTTATCAGGGGAGGAGCATTTACAAGAACTCCTGAAAGAGGTAACTTTCACTCTGAGCCACCGGTGTCGGGAAGGTGTAACTCCTGTGATTTGTCAGTCTTAGAGTTTCAGAGCTGGATGACAGCAAGCAGCTTAGTGAGAAGAGAGCTGTCTTTAACTTTCAGTTTTTCAGCTTACATCAAAAACAGCCTGAATGTCCCCTGTGTATGACATGCCTTTTTCCAGAGAAGGGGAGAGCTGTTCAGAAATCGGAACAGTTAGCAAGGTAGCACTTGGGCTGCTTTGTCCGACTGCACTGCCGGTTCTTCCCTCTGTTGTGCTCTGCATTGGCATGGGGAAGTCATCACCATCTGCCCTTTGGCATGAGCAAGAGTTATGTTGGGCAGCTTCTTCTCCTTAGCTGGGGGAGGCTCAGTGGGCTGGCTTCCTTGCAGTGTTGTAGGTGAATTTTCTCATCAGATCTGAGCTTGTCATCTGCCCACATTCCACCCCTCCTCCTTGTATCCGGATGATGGGCTTCACCATGACAAAAGTAACAAAATCAAAGGCTCTTCCTAGATTAGACCCTCAGTTTCAGTCTTCAGTTTCATCTAAATAACCTCCATCTCAAGCAGCAGTCTTAGCTCAAGTAATTGGGTCCCTGCCACCCACATGGGAGACCTACATCGAGTTCTGGCTCCTGGCTTTGGCCCCAACTCTAGGACCATTGGTAACTTTTGGGTGGTGAACCAGTAGATGAGAGTGCCTGCTCTCCCGTGCTTGCTCTCACTGTCTCCCCTTGCCTCTCCGCCTCTCATAAAGTGTGTGTGTCTCCCCCTTCATCTCCACCACCATTATTACTCTTCAGGGGTTTCCAGCACCAATCTCCTTATTCGCCCCTGCCACGGTCTTCCAAGCTCACTGCCAGTCTCATCTTCCTAAACAGCATTTCTAACCATTTCAGTCCCTTAAACATCTTCCACGTGTCCCTTAAACAATCTCCAGTGAGTAGAATGTGTTTCTGCATTATAAGTTGATTTCTAGAATAAATGTCTATGTTTATATTTTGTTTCTTTTACTTACCAGCTTATGACTTAGAGCAAGTAACTTTATCTTACTCTGTTTGTTTTTATTGTGGCACCAAACTCAGGATTGTTAGGAGTAAATGAATTACAGTATGTGAAGTGCTTAGAATCATGGTTGGAACATAGTAAAGTCTCGACGTCATGAAAGGTCAGCTATTAGTGTTATAGTAATTATTGTTGTGCCATCATTACTGTTACTGTCTTGTGTGTGTGGAGTTACTTAGGGAATTTGTTTAAAATCTGGATCTCGGCCTTGTCTCCAGGAGTTCTGATTTCAGTAGCCCTTGAGAAAGGCCTTTAGTTTAATGACCACCCAGGTCAGTCTAGTGCCAGAATGTGGAAGGCGCCCCTTGGAAAAATGTCGCCTATAAAATCATGTTCAAACTCTTTTTTGTAACATTAAAAAAATCCTCTTACAACCTGACCCTTTTGCTTAACTTTCTAGTCTCATTTGTTGACCTAAACCCATCATCTCTTTGTCTTCTGTGGAGTTGTAGTTTCCTGGTTGTAGCAGGCTGTTCGTATACATTCCCATGGTTCATGGTGTTTTCCTGGCCCCTGTGTGAATCAAGAAGCTTCCCACTTCCCCTGTGCTCCTTCTTTGCTGGCAATTCTTACACTCCATTATGTAATTGTTTTCTTAGTCTTTTGCCCCAGCCTCAAGGTCAGGGACTATGTCAAGTTTATGTGTATATTATATGTGAATTATATCTCAGCTGGATTTTTTTAAGGTTTATTTATTTATTTGAAAGGCAGAGACAGAGAGAGGGAGCAAGAGAGAGAGATCTTCCATCCACTGGTTCACTTCCCAAATGGCTGCGATGGCCAGGGCTGGGCCAGGCCGAAGCTAGGAGCCAGGAACCTCTTCTGGGTCTCCTGCATGGATGAGGGGCCCAAGCACATGGGCCATCCTCTCCACCACAGTGATGGCCCCTCAGCTGGATTTTTTTAATGTTTATTTATTTTCATCTATATGATAGAACAACTGAGAGAGAGGTCTTCCATCCATTGCTTCATTCCCCAAATGTCCACAACAGCCAGGACTGGGCCACAACCATTTCGGCTATAGGGACCTAAGTATTTGGGCCATCACCTACTGCATCCCAGGATGCATTAGCAGGAAGTTGGATGGGAAGCAGAGTAGCCAGGACTCAAGACAGCACTCCAGATGGGATGAGGGTGTTGCAAGCAGCAGCTTAACCTGCTGTGCTATAAAGCCTACCCTTCAGCTGGAATTTTTATTTTTTTAGCATATTTATGTCCCTTGGGCCCAGCATAAATCATTGTATGAGTATGTTGTAGATACAGTGAATACTTAGGCAATGGAGAAATGACTGTTTTCTTTTACTCTTCTTTCAACTTACAGAAAACACTTGCTGAGCAGAATTTGGAGGATACCAGACAGCAGCTCTTGGCAGCCAGAAGCAGCCAGGCCAGTGCCGTTGGTGAATTGGAGAGTCGGGTACTGATCTTACTCCCTATGTTTCCTGTGCTTGGGTGATAACCTGGCTGAATGATGTGGTGTGGTTGAGAATCCCTGTTTTGTTTTGTTAAGATTTATTTATTGATTGATTGAAAGAGTCACACAGAGAGAGAGAGAGAGAAATAGAGATCTTCTGTCTGCTGGTTTGTTCCCAAACATCTGCAATGGCTGGGGCCAGGGCAGGCCAAAACCAGAAGCTGGGCCGGCGCCGTGGCTCAATAGGCTAATCCTCCACCTTGCGGCGCCGGCACACCGGGTTCTAGTCCCGGTCGGGGCGCCGGATTCTGTCCCGGTTGCCCCTCTTCCAGGCCAGCTCTCTGCTATGGCCAGGGAGTGCAGTGGAGGATGGCCCAGGTGCTTGGGCCCTGCACCCCATGGGAGACCAGGAAAAGCACCTGGATCCTGGCTCCTGCCATCGGATCAGCGCGGTGCGCCGGCTGCAGCGGCCGCCATTGGAGGGTGAACCAACGGCAAAAGGAAGACCTTTCTCTCTCTGTCTCTCTCTCTCACTGTCCACTCTGCCTGTCAAAAATAAAAAAAAATAAAAAAAATAAAAAAATAAAAAAACCAGAAGCTTCATCCAGGTCATTAGCAGAGGCCCAAGCACGTGGACCATCTTCCGCTATTTTTCCCAGGCCATTAGCAGGGAGCTGGATCAGAAGTGGAGCCACCTGGGCCATGAACCAGCACCATGTGGGATGCTGGCACTGCAAGTAGCAGCTTTATTCGCCAAGCTGTAGCACCGGCCCCTGAGAATCCCCTTGGTCGGAGGTTTTCCATTTGACAAAACTATTTTATTTTTAATCTTACACAGGATTGAATTAGTCATCTGTGTCTTTCTTGCCCCATTATAATCATGGTTCCACAAAAAGTTTTTTTTTTTTTTTTTTTTTTTTTTATGTTTATTTGTGGGCCTGGAGCTGTTCGTAGTGGTTACGCTGTCATCTCCAGAGCTGACATCCCATATGGGCACCAGTTTTGAGTCTTGACTGCTCCATTTCCAATTCAGCTCTCTGCTGTGGCCTGGGAGATCAGTGAAAGATGGTCCAAGTGCTTGGGCCCTTGCACCCACACGGGAGACCCAGAAGAAGCTAAGGGTTCCTGACTTTGGCCTGGCCCAGCCCTAGTCATTGTGGCCATCCGGGGAGTGAACTAGCAGGTGAAAGATCTCTCTCCCTCTTTCTGTGTAACTCTGATGTTCAAATAAATTAATAAATCTTTTTTAAAAAATAAGTTTTATGGCCGGCACCGCGGCTCACTAGGCTAATCCTCCGCCTAGCGGCGCCGGCACACCGGGTTCTAGTCCCGGTCGGGGCGCCGGATTCTGTCCCGGTTGCCCCTCTTCCAGGCCAGCTCTCTGCTGTGGCCAGGGAGTGCAGTGGAGGATGGCCCAGGTGCTTGGGCCCTGCACCCCATGGGAGACAAGGAAAAGCACCTGGCTCCTGGCTCCTGCCATTGGATCAGTGCGGTGTGCCGGCCGCAGCGCGCTGGCCGCGGCAGCCATTGGAGGGTGAACCAACGGCAAAGGAAGACCTTTCTCTCTCTGTCTCTCTCACTGTCCACTCTGCCTGTAAAAAAAATAATAATAATAAGTTTTATTTTCATCTGCTCAAAAGGGAGAAAGAGAATGAAAATATGTCTCTGTGTGTGTGTGTGTGAGAGGGAGAGGAAGGGAGGGGGATTGAGATTATCTTCCATGCGGTGCTTCACTCCCCAAATACAGGGGCATGAATCTTCTGAGCTGTTCCAAAGTCAGAAACCCAGAACTCAATCCAGGTCTCATTTGGATGGCTACCCCAGAACTTGAGCCATCTTCTGCTGCCTCTCAGGCACATTGGTCGAAAGCTGGATAGGAAGTACCGTAGCTGGGGCTCAACTTGGTGCTCTAATATGGGATACGGGTATCTGGTGACTGATTGACCTGTTGTGCCCAACATCTGCCCCAAAGTTATTCTCTTAATTATTTATTCCCTTTTTACCATCATTGCTCTCCCTCCCATAGAAAGGAGGAAACCATTATAATGTGGTTAATACAGATCCTTTTTTTATAGAGTTGCCTTAAAGTTGGTTAACATTGGCTTATGTGTCTGTGTTTTTAAAGGATGAAAATGATATACTTATAGGTATGTCTTCTCTGTTACTTTCAGCTTCTCTATCTTCTTTTTTTGTTGTTTGTTTGTTTGTTTGACAGGCAGAGTGGACAGTGTGAGAGAGACAGAGAGAGAAAGGTCTTCCTTTGCCGTTGGTTCACCCTCCAATGGCCGCTGCGGCCGGTGCGCTGTGGCCGGCGCACCACGCTGATCCGATGGCAGGAGCCAGGTACTTCTCCTGGTCTCCCATGGGGTGCAGGGCCCAAGTACTTGAGCCATCCTCCTGCACTCCCTGGCCACAGCAGAGAGCTGGGCTGGAAGAGGGGCAACCGGGACAGAATCCAGCGCCCCAACCGGGACTGGAACCTGGTGTGCCGGCCCCGCAAGGCGAAGGATTAGCCTACTGAGCCGCGGCGCCGGCCAGCTTCTGTATCTTCAGACTATATCCACTTCATTGTGCCAACCTGCTTTACTTTGTAGTTACCTGCTACATACTAAATATTTAGACTGTTTTCTTTTTCCTGCCCCCACAGATTCCACTCCAATAAATAGCCCATCCTTTCTCCTTAAGAATGGTGGAAGATACATGTAGGAATGGGCATTTGGCCTAGCAGTTACAGGACACCAGTTAGGATGTCCTCATCCCTTATCAAGAGTACCCAGGTTCGGGGGCCGGCGCTGTGGCTCACTTGGCTAATCCTCCACCTGAGGCGCTGGCCTCCCCTATGGGCACCGGATTCTGTCCCGGCTGCTCCTCTTCCAGTCCAGCTCTCTGCTGTGGCCCAGGAAGGCAGTGGAGGATGGCCCAAGTGCTTGGGCACCTGCACCCGCATGGGAGACCAGGAGGAAGCACCTGGCTCCTGGCTTCAGATCGGTGTAGTTCCAGCCGTAGTGGCCATTTGGGGGGTGGGGAGTAAACCAACGGAAGGAAGACCTTTCTCTCTGTCTCTCTCTCTCTCTCTCACTGTCTAACTCTATCTGTAAAAAAAAAAAAAAAGTTTCAAATCCTGGCTTTGGCTCTTGATTCCAGGTTCCTGCTACCCTGGGAGGCAGCAGCAATGGCTTACACAGTTGAGTCCCTGATACCCACATAGGAAACCAAGAATCGTTTCCCAGCTCCTATCTTCTGCTCCGGCTAAACCCTGGCTGTGCAGGCACTGGGGCAGTGAACCAGCAGATACAATATCTATCAATCATTCAATCAGTCTACCTCCCTGCCTACCTACATACATATCTATCCATCCATCCATCTATCCATCCATCCATCTCCCCCACTTACCCTCCATTGTCTCTCAAGTAAATTTAAAAAAAAAATTTTTTTAAGGGACTGGCATGGTGTAATGGGTTAAGCCACCAGCTGCAATGCTGTTATCCCATATGAACACCAGTTCAAGTCCTGGCTGCTCCATCTCCAATCCAGCTCCCTAATAATGGCCTAGGAAAAGCAGCAGCAGGTGGCCCAAGTACTTGGGCTCCTGCCAACCACATGAGAGACCCAGATAAAGTTCGTGGCTTCAGCCTGGCCAGCCCTGACCACTGTGGTCATTTGGGGAGTGAACCAGTAGATGGAAGATCTTTCTCTCTCTCCCCCTCTCTCTTTCAGATAGATAGATAGATAGATAGATAGATATTTTAATATATGCATAAAAACTTTTAAGCATTTTTTAAGAAAGAAAGAGGTACAGGCATTGTAGCAAGATCTTCTCTCCCTCTTCCTCTGTCCTTCTGCCTTTCAAATGAGTAAGTAAATCTTTAAAAAAAAAAAAAAAAAAAGAAGAAGAAGAAATTGTGTATACCCTAAAATGACCAGGTAGGACAAGATTGTTCCCAGAAAGGGTGCACCACCAGGCTCTCCTCCTGCAAACGTGAGGATTCCTAAATCTGCCTCTTAGCCTTTTCTAGCATTGGCATTTTCTAGCTTTTAGCTTTTGCCAGCTAATAAATATGTAGTAATAGTTCATTGCTTTAATTTGCATTTTATAGTTAATGAGTTTAACCATCTTTTCATGTGCCTGTCAATCTTTGAAGTTGCCCATTAATATTTTTGATTTGTTTTCTTTGGAAGTTTTAATCTATTCTTATTTGGTTTGTAAGATTTCAGTTTATATTCTAGTTCCTAATCCTTTGTTCATTTCAGTCCTGAGCCAGTGTGTCACCTTCATCCGTGTACCCTGAATTAAACAGAAATTGCTGTTTCACGTAGTCAGAGTCATTGATCTTTTTGCTTGTGGTTTGAAGTTCCATTTAATCAATCCAGCCCTGCTCCGCAGTCATATAGATCAACTTGTACATTTTTTTCACTTTACTTTATAATTGTGTCCTTTACATACCAAATCTCTAATAATCCATGCTCACACAGCCTTTGGGGTTAGTGCTAATTAGCTTTACTTTGCTTCGTGTTGCTCAGCACCGTCTTGTAAACAGCCTATCCTTTCCACTTGGACGGCCCAGACTGCCGAGTCCTGTATGAAGTGTCCTGTACATGAGTTTGCCTGTGCATCCTCTAATAAACTCCTCCCGTCTCCTTGTCTGCTCGCGTGCAGACCCTACAATGTTGTTGTTACGCTAGTTTTGTCTGTACTTTATCTTGGTTTCCCATAAGGTCTTTACTTTATGGGCCATTAAAGTTTTACGGTTTTTAAGTTCCTAAAAAATTCAGCTTGAATTTTTATTGAGATTGCATTATATATATACATTAACTATAGGTAATTATCATTTTTATAACACTGAGTATTTCCTTCCAAAAATGTAAATAAATTTCATTCATTCAGATTCATTTCTGTGTCCTTTATTAAAACTTCACGTTTTTCCTGATGTGTTATTTTCTTGGTAAATTCTTTGAAACTTTAAAGTTTGTATTAATATTTTGATGTTGTCTTCTTCTTTTTT